TCTACTTATACAATTCACGGTCAACCCACGCAGACATTGGGACACCATTCAAATTACACACAGAAAGGCCCTAGTACCCAGAACCTTCATCTTGTGAGGCAACATTGCTGACAACTGTTTTGACCATGCTGCCTGCAATTGGAAAAAATATTCTCAGTCTCTGGCTCAATATGGGATTACTGTGACAATTATTCAATTTAAAAATCTCTAAATCAGCAGTGTAACAGTTTTTCAGTTGACCTGAAAAAGTCACACTGAATGTAAACTAATACAGTTACATTCACTGCTGAAGGAAACACAATGATGGTTGAAGAGGCATCTGTCTGATTTCAGTCAGCACAATTTCTGTAAAGCTTCTGATGTTTCTTTTTTCTCTCTCTTTTAAGTGAAATTTTATCTGTAATTGATATTATTACACATTAAAACACACACCTTTAGTAATGGTAGATTACAGAGTCTGTCACAATTTTAGCATTGCTTATAATGTAAAAAAGGTAAAATACAGTAATGTAAGTCCAGTAATTTATAATAAATAAGTATTTGCAAAGAAATCATACAAATATGTAGTGGTGATGTTCATTAAAGATTTACCTAAAACAATTACAGAGACAGTATTACTGATCTTTGTCTAATGTGAATTCTTCCTGCGACCAGAGCACTGATATTCACCACTTTGACCTGCAAATTGAATTTCAAAAAGGTGGATTTTGTTCAGGTTGTAGGGAACAAAGTCTCGACCACCCTTGTTGATAACTGTGGCTCAGGGGGTTGGGAATCGCATCTGTAACTGGAAGGTCGCCGGTTCGATCCCTGGGCTCTCTGTCCTGGTCGTTGTGTCCGTGGGCAAGACACTTTACCCTACTTGCCTACTGGTGTTGGCCAGAGGGGCCGATGGCGCGATATGGCAGCCTCGCTTCTGTCAGTCTGTCCCAGGGCAGCTGTGGCTACAACCGTAGCTGCCTCCACCAGTGTGTGAATGTGAGAGTGAATGAATAGTGGCATTGTAAAGCGCTTTGGGTGCCTTGAAAAGCGCTATATCAATCCAATCCATTATTATTATTATTATTATTATTTTGTATTCCCAGTCAGTGTCTTCTCCTTCATTCATGTCACATATGAACATAGCAAATTCTTGGATGAGAAAACTGGACCATCTGGGTTCAATATTTAGCACAGCATCTAGATTCAAACACAGCCACACCATTAGAAATGTAAAAGATGTTTATGTAGGATGTAGGGTCTGCATGTTCATAAAATAAGAATTATGCCGAGAATTAAAAAAATAAAAACAGAATGGAAATAACTTAAGAATGATGCAGTATGTCAAAATTAACCTTTGCTATAGAAATTATTAAAAAAATGAAAACAAAAAACTGTTCAGTCACCTTGAGCATGTCCAGTGCACAGGAGCGTACAGAGCACTACAATAAAGACAGATACTTAAGACATTATCAAACTAAAGACACTCAAATATTGCATAAATAAAACAGTGCTGATAATGACCCACAGCTTTTTTTACATCTTGGCTCATGTGATGAGGCACATGATCCATAGTGAGTTAACGACCTCCTTAAGCTGGGCTTGCATCGTGCGATTTTTGGCCCATTTTGGGCCGATTTTTTAATCGTACAACCGTTTAGGTGATCGGCCCGATTTTGGCCTTCATCATGCATCATGTATATGTGGGGTAACAAGAAGCAATTAACACCTCACGACCAGCTCCCGATCATCAATGGCTTGGTCGGAAGGATTTCAAACCGGTTTGAAATCCTCATGACCGTCGTGAGGATGTCACCGCAGCTGCTCACACTGCGCATGCGCAAACACATAAATGTTGGTGAAAAAGACGGAACAGCACAGCAGTGCAGCGTGTGATCTGGACACAACCGATGGAGACACTTATAGAACTTTGGAAAACTCATCCGAGCCTTCAAAATTATCACGACCACAACAACCGTGAAAACAGTTGGATTTACATTGCTGCTCACTCACAGCTGCCTGGTCAATGTTTTTCATTAGCAATTTAGCAAAGTTGATGGTGGTGGTGTGTGTGTCTGTGTGACTGAAAGACAGAGAGGGAGAGCGACAGAATTTCTGTTATAACCTTAATTTTATGGAGGCACAGTGTGAGCACTCAGGTCGGATCAGAGCATCGGGCCATATAGTGTGAGACCCTGCATCGTGACCTACGAACTTCTAACCCCTGCGAGTCAATCGTACAGTTTGAGCAGAAGCTGAATAATGCGACTGAAAAAAATCGCACAGTGTTTGCCCAGCTTTAAACGAGAACTCCCACCGGGGAGACTCAAATATGCCATAAACAAAACACTCAGGGTTTTACCAGTGGCTACTATGATTGGTACAAATGACTGATGCTCTGTTCTTCTTACTAAAACATGTTTATGGATCAGTATGAATCAAACAATAGAAGTCAGTGATGTACTCACAGAATAGGCCCAGCTCACAGAGCAAAGTGGCTCCCATCCTCACATCCAGCAGTGACACGTCTGAAAACTTCTACAACTTTCTGTAAAGAGAGAGAGTGAAGCAGCAGCATAGCAGATACCAAAGAGCTGTAACATACATCTGCTGATTGCTCTCAGATAAACATGTTAAATACTCTTTGTCATAAACAATTAGTAGCATGTCTTTTTTTCCACAAATGCAGTTTTTACATAAACCACTATTCAAAGCTAAGATTAGCTAACTAACTGAACCAAACCAGATGTAAAAATACCTCTCCAAATAAACAATAAATCAATTTCCATCTAAAATGAGAAAGAAATCTGCCCATGGTGCACTCCACTTAAGACAGCCAGGACATGCTCCAGCCCTCCTGAGACCCAAAGTTTTAACATGGTAAAACATGGATTCATAGACGATTAAAGCATCGTTGACAGATATGTCATACTCACTTATGGTACTGCTCACAGCAGTTGATGGTAATCCATGCACTCTCTTAGACAAAAATCCTGAGCTTCGCTAATGTGATGTATCCTATTACTCCACTGCAAACTCTTTTATAATACAATTCTGATTTGGTCATAAGATCTCCTACAGGAAGTGACTGAGCTTGAGAAAAATAAATACAGTGTCCTTAACGGAGTTAGAAGAACAGAAGATTTCTGAAAAGATTCAAACATACAGCTCTGCTATCACTTCCAACATAAATGAAGATGGGAAACTAAACAGCAGTGACATTTGTAAGGTTACTGAAGTTGGGTTAGGTGGTAGCCCACACCCCCCGCGCACACGAACGCACGAACACATCCTCCAACCACACACACTCATATTTTGCTCCATTGCGGTTTATTTCACACCTCAAACATTTAGTAAACAATTAAGCAAATACAAGTAATCTGCAGGTAGTAGGAAAATAAACTACTAACTCTTTTACGCTGCGTCCACACCTACACGGGTATTTTTGACAACGCAGCTGTTTTGTCCACACGTAAATGGCGTTTGTAATCACCGTTTACGTGTGGACAAGGAATACAGAGTTCGTCATGCAACATCAAAGGTATGTGCCTTTTTTCACATCGCCACGTTATTGTTTACATGAGATGAATTGCTATCAATAAATTTTTCAAAAAATGCCTCTCTGTGCAAAATGGGTTCAAAACATAAACAACTGTTGGATACTGTTTGTCCGTGATTTAGACAGGGGGAACAAATTGTGGCAGGATCAGCCTGATATTATTTGTATCCCGCTGTAACTTTACTGTATAAAGAGCTAACAGCTCCAAAATGTCCAAAGTAGTTAGTCATTACAACAACATGTGTGTGTGAACTAAAAATCAAGAATGTGGGATACTGTTTGTCTGTGATTTGGAGAGCCCAGCGCTGCTCCCGACGCAGGGAAAACCAATTCTACAGGGGAGACCTACCTTGGCACTTGTGCAGGTGAAGCCAAAGGGCAGATATGCTTCACCATATTTTCTAGTCTTTGGCTTAGAATGAAGTTGCTTTGGAAACATATTCAGTTATGCAAGTTATGCAGGCTTGTTTGCACAACAAGGCTAAATAATTATATAAACTTTTCTGAATCTAAATATTGTACTTTGGTAGAATTAAATAATAAGTGTAGTGCAGGTCTATGATGATTTTTAGTGCTACTATGATTCTGGTTCTGTCTTGGTTAAGTCCTCAGTAGTTCTGATTTTGAACTGTTGTAGTCCTGTTTTAATTCCGGATCAGTTCTGGGTCTGGTTGAATTGGGGTTTAGTCCTCGTGTCTTGACACAGCCCTGACTTTGTTCTGCCTTGCTGCTTAATTAAAAAACTAGTTTAAGGTGTCCTGCACATGTGAAATATATTTTTTTCCTATGTGAAGTCATTCTTTTTTGAACAAAACTCAAAACAGAGCATATTAATCTTTCAGTCATTTCTACCCCCCCCCAAGAAAAAAACAAAAAATCCCACATGCATACTACCCTTTTGGGCTAAGCCCCGGGTGTTTCAAATGTCTGGCTCCGCCTCTGCCACACATAGGAAGGAAGATAGATCAACGAGGAAACAGCACACAGGAGGGAGACATGGCTTAACCTAAATAACGTGAAGAGACAGGGGGACGCAAAACAGAACACACCGATGTCAGACATGGGCCTTCAAAGTAAAACAGGAAACACACTGACTGAACTGAGAGACACCATACCGACAGAGTACAGAGGGCAAACACAGGCAGAGATGACTAGACACTAAACTAAACCTACCCCAACACGATAATAATGATAATAATGATCAGAAAGCACAATTGAAGATCAGAACCTAAACCATAATACACAATAGTACAAAAACACAAGAAACAGAAGATGCTGGGTCAAAAGGACCCAGAACTGTGGCAGTAGCTGATAAACAGTCATGTGTCACGCAACTCTATCTGGTGTGTTGGAGCAAAAAACATGAAGGAGTATAAGTCAACTTGAACAGGTTTCTTTTTCAGCAAACACCACAGAACACTGCAAAGTGAATAATATATCAGGTTTAATAAAGAAATGATTTATATGACACGTAATCAGATAACAAAAACTACTGACAAAAAAAGTTAATCAACTTATAATATTGTTTTAAAAAAGCTTTTTGAAATGAGTCAAATGATACGTATTCAATTCAAGGTAACAGAAAAACATACTTAAAGAAATAAATAAATGAATAAGTGCTCATGCTAACGTGAAAACAGATCCTAATCTCAACGCTTGCCATCACTTTATAATAAAGCTCTATTTTAATAATACAGTCCATTAGCTTTTTTCCCCCACAATGATCTCTTCAATTCAGATTTGGGACCGAATCTACTTGCTTGAAAACTTATTGAAGGTACTCATTACCAAGAGCTGTTTGTGGCTTGATTTCAGAGTAAACGTCTTCATCAGTTGCTGCAGGAGCTGGATTTTCATACAAATAAAGACATCATTAGTCAAAGTTAATTGCCAGTAACCTCTTACTTACATACGACAGCTGTTCGTTTTTATACAGTTTTCTTTGATCTGTAAAAAAAATTGTAAATGAGACAGAAAGAGAAATAAATTATTGATTGTATTACTTTACTTACATTTGTCTCTCTTGGATTTAGCTTTATTGTAGTAGACCTGTGTGTAGAACTGGCTGTCATCTAAAAGAGGATGGACAGATGCTCAGCATAAACAAAGGGTGGAACGATTTTTCTGTCAGTCAACACCAAACTTATCACATGAACTGACTGAAGGAGGTTCTCGCTCTATTAAAGGTGAGATTTCCTGATGACCCCTTGCTGTCATGTTTAAAAATCTGTTTCTTTCTCTGCTGCTGTTAGCTCTCATTTCAGTGTCAGAGAAGCTCAACCCTCCTCCACCCGTGCAGAGGATTACAGATTACTGCTGTCTTCTTATTCCTTCTGATTCTGGGAGACACAGCAAACCTTCTGGCAACAGCAAGTGTGGACGATCCATCCTGAAGGAGCTGGTCTACCTATCCAACTAGAATGGGATGCAGGTACTGTATTTTTGGGCTTGCCATTTTGTTGCCTCTCCAGTGAACCTGCTGTCACTTTTAGCAGGTCATATGGAGTCAACATGCTTTATGCTTCCTAACTGGATGTATTTATGCCTCTTAAATTTAACTGGCTTATGTTTTATTTATTTATTTTTGAGGAATGCACATGACAAGCAGACAGCATGTTTCTTCGTCTCTGTTAGAAGGCTCATATGAATGAATGATTTTAAATTTAATATAGATACTACTGTCCTATGAAAACATCTAAACTACTGTATTTCATGTTTTTATAACATCAAATTCTTACCTTTCATTGTGAAGTTTTTTAACTCAATCAAAGAATATGTGAAATCCCCAGATTCAGCTGGAACAGAGTTACATAGTCATACATAAATAAACATCACACAGACTCTATATACCTTATTGCCTTATTTATGTACTTTACCATTTTGTGTGTCGTCGCAGTCTTTGATTGATTCATAGAAACAAGCATCATCTACAAAATCAAGGCTGATGTTAGAATAACTAAAAAAATTAAAAAAATATAAAAAATACTGATACTCAAAGCCATGTAAATATATTAAATTTGGTTACAACATTACAAACAGCAAAGGCATAGCATTTTTACATCACTATAAACTTTCCAAAGAACATTTAAAAAGAACAAAGAAAACAAAAATGAAATGACAATTTCTGGGTAGATGAGCAGATGCATATACAAATTTTAATTATTAACCACTATAGTATGTCGATAGGATCCACTTCCTTATTTAGTACATTTGTTACATATTTACATTACAGACCAACAGCAACAATAATAGCAAACAAAGGCTGACCTTGGAGAGGAGAACTGTTTTGTCTCTGAATTTCATTCTGATTTGTGTTCTGAGTCCTGGTGGAACATAAGGTGTAGTAAAACAGTAGATTATTATTATTATTATTATTATTATTATTATTATTATTATTTAAGAAACACAGGATTTAATTCTTGTATGCTAAAAAGAGAAGTGAAATGTGAACCAACCTGACAAAGAATGAATCTGTAAAAAAAGACAATTACTTTTTTTAGTGTTGTAACACTATATGTAGATTTTTAAACAAATAATAGATCATATTCAATGTAATACCAGAAGAAAATGGTCTCACCCTTTGACCGCTTGAAGACATACAACAACAGAAGAAGAAGAAGAAGAATCAGTAAAATTCCACAAAGGAGTCCAACAATCAACCAGGTGAAAAATGAAGATCGTTCAGGCTCAGGTACTGCTGTAATAAATAATATACCCTAATTAGATTATTTTAATGTGAATCACCACCACAATTTACATAGGGAGTTTACAAAACATGTCAGCTATATTACAATGTTCTTAATAATAACTGATAATTGCACCTTTTATTGCAATCTGTGGTGGGGTTTTTTTTCCTGCTTTATTTGTCATCAATTCATATTCCCATTCACTGTCTTCTTTGTCGATCTTATACTTTTCATATATACACTCAACAAAAAAATAAACGCAACACCTTTGTTACTGCTCCCATTCCCCATGGGATGGACGTAGAGACCTAAAATTCATTCCAGATACACAATATAACCATGTGGTCACAAATCAGTCCAAATGTGTGGTAGTGGGCACATCTGCCATATTGAGATAATCCATCCCACCTCACAGGTGTGCCACATCAGGATGCTGATCTGACATCATGAGTAGTGCACAGGTGTACCTCAGACTGCCCACAACAAAAGGCCACCCTGGAATGTGCAGTTTTGTCTCACAGCAAAATGCCACAGATGCCACAAGCAATGAGGGAGCGTGCAACTGGCATGCTGACAGCAGGAATGTCAACCAGATCTGTCGCCCGTGCATTGAATGTTCATTTCTCAACCATAAGCCGTCTCCACAGGCGTTTCAGAGAATATGGCAGCACATCCAACCGGCCTCACAACCGCAGACCTCGTGTAACCACACCAGCCCAGGACCTCCACATCCAGCAGGTTCACCTCCAAGATCGTCTGAGACCAGCCACCCAGACAGCTGCTGGAACAATTGGTTTGCACAACCAAACAATTTCTGCACAAACTGTCAGAAACCGTCTCAGGGACGCTCAACTGCATGCACGTCGTCCTCATCGGGGTCTTGACCTGACTCCAGCTCGTCGCCGTAACAGACTTGTGTGGGCAAATGCTCACATTCGATGGCGTCTGGCACGTTGGAGAGGTGTGCGCTTCACGGATGAATCATGGTTCACATTGTTCAGGGCAGATGGCAGCTGAGTCCCAGTTCTTGCATGGCCAGCATACTCACCGGACATGTCACCCATTGAGCATGTTCGGGATGTGCTTGACCGGCGTATACGACAGCGTGTACCAGTTCCCACGAATATCCAACAACCTCGCACAGCCATTGACGTGGAGTGGACCAACATTCCACAGGCCAAAATTGACAATCTGATAGACTCCATGCGATGATGTGTTGCACTGCATGAGGCAAATGGTGGTCACACCAGATACTGACCGGTTCTGGGTCCCCAGACCCCCAATAGCGCAAAAAACTGCACATTCCAGGGTGGCCTTTTGTTGTGGGCAGTCTGAGGTACACCTGTGCACTACTCATGATGTCAGATCAGCATCCTGATGTGGCACACCTGTGAGGTGGGATGGATTATCTCAATATGGCAGATGTGCCCACTACCACACATTTGGACTGATTTGTGACCACTGTTTGGGAGGGATGGTTATATTGTGTATCTGGAATGAATTTTAGGTCTCTACGTCCATCCCATGGGGAATGGGAGCAGTAACAAAGGTGTTGCGTTTATATTTTTGTTGAGTGTATATAAATGACTAATGACAATATTGATTTCCACATTCTTTATTCCTGGAATATTCACTCTTTGATAGTGATGGAAAACTCACCCTTTTTATCAATCCTGACTGACTGGCTGTCCTCTGTGTAGTAAACTGGGTTTCCTCTTCCTCCTCTGCACCTGTAGAGTCCTTCCTGTGAGACACTGATTTGTCCATTTGAGTGGAAAACTGCATCTTGTATGGTCAGAGGTTCAGATGAGTTCTCATCTCTGTACCAGTAGTATTTCCATCCAGATGATGATGATGATGAGTTCACAGAGCAGGTCAGGGTCACATTTCCTCCTACTGGGATGTTTCTCATATCAGATATTATTTGGGACTTTGGTTGATCTGCTGTTGAGTTAAGATAGAAAAAGAAAAAAAAGTAAATATATTATACTGTACACAAAGGTCAGGATCTACACTGTACTAATGTTACAAGCCTTCATTTCCCCTCTTGTCCACCTCTGCTTCAGTTTCCAAAAACAAATACAAGGAAAAGAGACTAAACTGAAATGGTATGAGCGCATCACATTTTTATCACCCAACATTGTAAAAGCAGTGTTTCCCCTTTCCTAATCCATGTATAAAAAAAATACTTTTACTTTTTTTGTGTGATTCTTTGTAGGTCCCACTGCAACAACAAATTCGTGAGATAACCCAACAAAAGTGTTAGTAAGCTTAGTCTCAGATGTCAGACCACTCAGGAGGAGATGAACATGCTTTACAGAGAAACCAGCCTTCTTCCCATGTCATAAGAAAAAAATCCCTTTTTAGTTTGGAAAAAAAGGCTCAAAACTCACAAATTACTGTTCATTAACTCAATAAACTCTGGTCCAAACTTAATAAATAAATTCTAAAAATGTTCACAACACTTGGCTCTGTAAATGATGATCAATGTCACCAAATCATTATACATAGTTCTAGGATGTCTCATCCCACCTTAATCCAGCTGAACAAGGAAAATAGACTACTGATTATAGCGTTATCAGTCACCATGGCAACAAGTAAAAAATGCGTAAATTATTAGTAAGGAAATTTTTGACATCTCCTCCTGAAATATTACAACAACAAACCTACATCCATATGCTCTTTAACCTCCTACAAAACTTATTTTCTTCTTTTTACATTTTTTTCACACCAGACACGCCCAGCTGTGAGCCCTTTCTGTGGGTGCATAGACAGTGCACAGGCTACAACCTCCTCCATGCATCTGAACTCACACACAAGGCTCAGATTATGTCCACTCTGGTTTTACCTCCATAGCAATCGGTTCCGATTGTAGTAATGAGTGGGTGTCAAGCTAAATCTGGCAACCTAATCATTTTTTCCCCTCTTTATTTATGTTAATATTGCACTCAAGTGATGGAGCAGCAGGTCAGCATTGCGGTGACATCATTCGCCGTGTGCAGATCCAAACTCAGCACCAGGTCCTAAAGTCAAACGAACACTGTGGCATCACTGAGAGTTACAAACTGTCTAAATTCTTTCATCTTTAATAAAATGATCAGTGTTGTTGCTCTACCAGGTGTAACGATTAAATTTGACATCCAGGCATTGATGAAAACAGAATTTATGAAATTTAACAGAGTCAGAAGCTAGCCGGGAGTTACCTAAGGTGGTAACATGGTATAAAGTTGATATACCATGTTCTGACTGAGGGAATTCTGAAAAATTCAAAGTACAGCTCTGCTTTCACTTCCGACCTCAATAAAGACAGGAAACTAAACAGCAGTGATGTTTTTAGGGTTACTGAAGTTGGGCTAGCTGGTATATTATGAAGTAACACGGGGTGACTAGCTACACATCTACGTATAGCATAATATAAACACATTAGCACAGTTAAGCTGGAGGATGAACACTAATTTTTTTCAAGTTGATAAAAGTTAACGTGAGGGTTCCCAATGGTTAGGGACAAATGCAATGGTATGGCAGGATGCTCTAAACAGAACAAACTTAAGGGGAACAACTGAGATAATCCATCCACAATATGAGGTTAGTCGTTAACGCAGAGCTTCCCAAAGTGTGGGGCCCGGCCCCTAGGGGGGGTGCACAGCTAGCATAATGGACAGGTTTTTTGACGGGGCTCCCACACAAATGCAAAGCAGGAGATGCAGCATTTTTCTTGTGAAACAAAGGGGGTTGCGAAAAAAGTTTGGGAACCACTGCATTAACATACTGCTGTATGGGCTCTAGGTGCATCGTAAGGTTTTCAAAACTGAGTTTTAAAATGAATGGTTGTAATAAAAAGCGAGGCAGACTGACAGTGATAACTGACTTTTTTTAGGGTCTTGTTCAGATTAAATAGAACAAGATGCAAAGCATTAAAACATGTTAAAGACACAACAGCCTTAATAAATGAAGAGTAATTTGGACCCGGAAGCAGGGTTCATCACATCATCACTTAAAGACTGGATACCAGCTGAAAGTTCATGACACAAAGTGGTGACAAACTGTCTACAATGAGGCTACTATCAGCTGCAGCTCTTTGTCTGACTAACAATGTAACATGCTTTGTAGACCATTGAATTCATCCTGTGCTGACCATGATGACATTTGTCAAATGGAGATCACACAACAAACATGACTTACTTGATGCTGACAATGTGAAGGCTTCACTCCACTCTGTTGAAGAATATGAGTCATCTCTGCGTCGACTCTTACACATGTAGTCTCCACTGCTGGACTCAGAAACTCTGAATGTCACATCATTATTGTGCGTCCACTGTGTGGGTGTCCTGGGTCCTCTCCATTCATACTCCCACGCAGTGGTTTCACCTCCTTCCTGCACCTCACATGTCAGAGTGATCGTCTCACCTCTGAATATCTGAGGCCAGTTGGGTCGTTGTTTTACAACAACTTTATTGGAAACTGTTTACACATATTAACAGTTGAGATACAAACAGAAACATGAAATCAACACAGAAAACTTAACATTGTACGTTTGATAATCATGAGTGAATGTATATTTCAAACTAAATGACTGAACTCACAGGTTTTCTCAATGGTGACTTCATCACTTCTATCAGTGTAGTAAACTGGGTTTCCTCTTGTTCCTCTGCAGCTGTAGATTCCTCCTTCAGATACTCTGATATCTCTGTTTTGTTGATCTCTGATTTTACCTTCAGAGGTTCTTTGGGTTTGTGTGAACCACTCATATTTCCATCCATCAGAGCTCTGCACAGAGCAGGTCAGTGTCACACTGCCCCCTACTGGTATGATTGTTGTTTCTGCTGTCAGTGTGGCCCTGGGTTTATGTGCTAATATGAAATAAAATATACACATCATGATCTATTATAAAGCTACACTTTAAAATATGTTTTCAGTGGATTCAATTTCTGACTTAAGGTAAAATCTACATATTTCACTATGATCATATTTCAGTTTTTTTTTTTTTTTAATTTTTATTTTCTTTCCGGTGTCCATCTCAACACTGTTCCAGTGGTGTAGTAAATCTTACATCCCAACGTAAGAATGGTATACCAGTTTTTCAGTTTTCTGGCCTGAAGAAGTCGCACTTAATTAATACATGAACAAAATAGTGAACTACTTGTAACTAATTAGTAAAGTAATGCAGTTCACTGCTGAATGATAGACAATGATGGGTTAAGAGGGATTTGTATTTGTATGATTTTGCTTAGATATCAGAAGTTCTTTTTTTTCTAATTTCATTCACAAGTGCTGCTGTTACACATTAAAACGAATATGATGCATTATAGAGTGCATTAGCATTGTGTATACTGTGAGCAAAGTAACATGTAAGAAACAGTGGTCATGGTCAAATTTTCAAGTTTCCATGACAACATTATTTAAATGTACACTGTATTTTATCATCCAGATTAGTGTTTAAATGTATCGTTTGTTTTTTCACTGAGGACTTACCTAATACAGTTAGAGAGACAGTATTACTGTGCTTTGGTTTATGTGAGCTCTTTGTACGACTTGAGCACTGGTATTCACCACTGTCACCAGTAGATCTAATTTCTAATCTGTAGTTTTTCAGTGTGTTGTACTGGATAAATTCTCGACCATTCTTGTTAATTTTGTATTCCCATTTACTGTCTTTTCCTTTGTTCATGTTACATTTGAAGGTAACAAACTCCCCGGTGAAAAAACTGGACCAGCTGGGTTGAATAGTTAGCACAGCATCTAGATTCAAACACAAGAACAATATAAGCAATCTGAAATACTTTTATGACATCAAAGGCAACATCTGTGTTGATGTTGTCATAAAATGAGAAACATATTAAAAATGAATAAATAAAAACAGAAATGGAAAGTGTTTAAGGGTGAGTATGCAGTATTTTCTGTTCAATCTTTACTAGATAGATAAAAAGGAAGTGTATCAGACATTTCTTTACTCTATATATTGATAACTTTAGTATTATTAATATCACTTGCTCACTTAGTTATATGCATGTACAATAGCACCCCAAATGGGCCTTATGCTCTATCACACATACACATACAGACAGAGTGGGGCCATTGTGAGTTCAGGTGAGATCTTAAACAGACAGACAGTGAAACTCCCATCCTTATCTCAGAGAAGATCGAGGGAGGATTCGGGATGTAATTCTTTAGGTGCTAAGTAAGAAAACAGCGTCGTAATTCTTAAACTCTGAAGAGAAGGATTTAAGGATGAGGCTGAAGGTATCGCCCCCTCGTGACATGAGCCAACTTGAATTTCCTTTGTCTGTGAGTTTGGTCAAGGTATAAAAGGACAGCTGGAAGACTTTGGGCTCTGGGGAGTAGTGATGGGAATAACAGCGTTACTAACAGCGTTACTTTTTCAGTAATTACTATTCCTATCGTTACAACGCCATTACCGTTACTAACAAGAAAATGCGGTGCGGTCCGTTACTATTTTTCAACAAACAGACGGTTGAAGCTGTGTTCAGCTTACCACACCCTATATCAGTTGAACGGAAGTAGCTGACTACGTAAGTAATCTGGAAGCTACAGCTTTAACCCTTTAAGACCTACCATAGAACCAAGTCCACCAGAGCTTATATTATATTTTTATATGCTGTAGTGCCATTTATGGGAGCATTTCAAGTTGCTATACATCAACACAACCATTATAGCCTAAATTTTAATAATATGTATTCATTAAGTGCATAGTAATTACATAAATTGCAAAAAAGTGCAATAAACTACAAAAAAATTGAAAATCGTTTTTGTTTTTTTAACATATATTTGTAGTTAGAGAAATTTAAGAGGCTTATCCCTCAAAACTGTAAATACAAAAAAGTTGCACAAACTAGTTTCCCACCACAGGAAATTTATTTTGAGTGTCTTCATAGTTTTATTTTTGAAATACACCAATTTTTATATACTGCAGGAAAAAACGAAATATTACAATGCAAATTTGTAAAAAAGCAGCATATGCATCAAAATAAACTATTTCCAGCAGTGCAATTTGAGTCCTAAGCATCCCAGAAACAACACAGAAAGTCATAAAGTCAAAGATAACTTTTAAAAACACAAGTATAGGCTCATTAGGCCCTGATAGTAAAAAACTACATTTCCACGAAAATGATGTCACTTCCGGTTTCGGGCAGGTAATGGCGGACATGCGAAAATTCGCACTGACGTCTATTCTAACGTAGGAAGTGTTATGAACAGCTGATCGGATCGGCAAAGCGTGTTTCTGGAATATTATGTTTTTGTTGCTGCAAGCGCTTTTTATGCAGTTTTTGCAAAGCTATATGTGGAAGGAAACCGTGACCGAGGACAAGCTGATGGCATAAGATGTAAGTACAACTCCTTCGGTTTCATATGCAAAAAAATTATTGCGCTAGCTCACGTGGTTGCAGCACTACCGGGATTTAAAAATAGTTACGCAAAACAGAGTGTGCCCGCTCCAACCGGCTTTAAAGGGTTAAGCAGCTATGGGCGGTAATCACAATTCTGCCCGACGATCACTTTCAAGCACAACAACTTAACCTAGGGGGGCAAAACAATCGCATGAGTGCTGCTGTTTGACTGAGGAAGAATATAGTAGCCGATCACATGACCACTTCAAGATGACAAAGCAACAAGGTGATATATACCAGTTTTTAAATTGTGTTGACAGGCCACGTAAAACCAGAGTCATGATAAACAATATATACGCATATACTTTTTCCTCATAGTTTCTGTCTTAGGACAGCGCTAGCAAGCACTCTCTGCTTATGAGCAAAAAACAAAACAAAAAACAGCCCTTTCGTGTTGGTGGAAAAATGTACCATGTCGACCAATCAAAAATGATGTGGCAACATGACATTTGGTTGTTTAGGAAGAGGGGGGAGGTTTACGAGTGACGGCGAGAGAGAGAGAGAGAGAGAGAGAGAAAGAAAGACAGCAGAAAAAGAGAGAGAGCGAGTTTTGAGATGTGAGAGATTTGTGACGTTTAGCGTGTTTGGAGCGTGTAGTTAATGTGTTGTTTTGTGTAGTTAGTGTGTAGTGTTGTGGATAATTTTGTGTTGTGTGTCAAAACAATGAGGCGACTGCTGTCTCCAGGTAGAAAAAGGAGTGATACGCCTGCTGCTGTCAGACCTGCAGGTATCAGGCTGTGATGTTCTCCTTTATAGTGGACAGACATTTTTTGAGTGGCACAAATAATTTGTGTGGAATCTTATTGAATGTAGAACAGCTGATTGTTATGTAAATCGTTTTGAAATGGTTATTAAAAAAGGAGTAAAAGGTAAATGGCTGCAAATAATTTTGTTGTTTGCAAAACTTGTGCATATGATTTTCAAATTGATAATTTATATTTGCATTCAAAGTTATGAAATATGATTCAATAAACATGGGTGTGGTTGTTACAGTAAAAAAATATCATTTTTTCTACTAGGATTTTATGTTTTTTGTCTGATTTTAGATCAATTGTGTTAATACAGTATGTCAAAATGAAAACAGAACTGTAACAGACACGTGAGGTTGTGCTGAAAAGAATGATGCCAAACAAGGCAAAGTAAATAGTTTTTAACCCTTTAAAACCAGTTGGAGCGTTACTCCATTTTGCGTAACTATTTTTAAATCTCTGTAGAATTACAACCACGTAAGGTAGCACAATAAATAAATAATACATTTTTTGCATATGAAACCAGAGGAGTTGTATTGACATGTTATGCCATTAGCTTGTCCTAAGTCACGGTTTCCTTCCACATATAGCTTTCCAAAAATTGCATAAAAAGCTCTTGCAGCAACAAAAACATAATATTCCAGAAATATGCAACACTTCTTAGGTTGCAATAGACGTAAGTGCAAACTATCGTATGTCCGCCATTACCTGGCCGAAATCAGAAATGACGTCATTTTTGCAGAAAATGTAGTTTTTTACCTTCAGGGTCTGATAAGCCTATACTGGTGTTTTTGAAAGTCATATTTGGCTTTATTCTTTTCTGTATAGTTTCTGGGATGCTTAGAACTCAAATTGCACTTCTGCAAATAGTTTATTTTGATGCATATGCTGTTTTCTTTGCAAATTTGCATTATAATATATAAATGGTAAATGGCCTGTATTCATATAGCACTTTACTAGTCCCTAAGGACCCCAAAGCGCTTTACATATCCAGTCATCCACCCATTCACACACACATTCACACACTGGTGATGGCAAGCTACATTGTAGCCACAGCCACCCTGGGGCGCACTGACAGAGGCGAGGCTGCCGGACACTGGCACCACCGGGCCCTCTGACCCTCTGACCACCACCAGTAGGCAACAGGTGAAGTGTCTTGCCCAAGGACACAACGGAGCCGGGGCTCGAACCGGCAACCTTCCAATTACATGGCGAACTCCCAACTCTTGAGCCACAATCGCCCCATAATATAATACATAATATAATATTTATTTTCGTTGTTCCTGCAAGATATCAAAATTGGTGTATCTCAAAAGTAAAACTATGAAGACACATAAAATAAATTTCCTGTGGTAGGAAACTATTTTGTGCAACTTTTTTGTATTTACAGTTTTGAGGAATAAACCTCTGAAATCTCTCTAACTAGAAATATATGTAAAAACAAAACAAAAACAAAAAAAGATTTTAATTTTTTTTGTAGTTTATTGCACGTTTTTGCAATTTATGTACTTTCTATGAACCTAGTGCATACATATTACTAAAATGTGGGCTATAACTGTTGTATTGATGCATAGCAACTTGAAATGCTCCCAAAAATGGCACTACAGCATGTAAAATATAAAGATAAGCTCTGGTGGACTTGGTTCTATGGTAGGTCTTAAAGGGTTAAAGGTGAAATGTAGAGGTAAAATCAAAAGTAGTTAAAAATGTCCAATTATACACTGGACCCCAGAGAGTTAGACTTTTTTTTTTAAGTAACGCAATAGTTACTTTTCATTATTTTTAGAATCTTGTAACTCAGTTACTAACTCAGTTATTTTTTTAAGTAACTATAATTAATTACTTTGTCAGTGTTACTTGCCCAGCACTGCTAGGGAGACAATTGGAGTAATTTTGAAGGTATAAAAGGATCAGGGTGGCTGATCTTCAGAGACCAATCTGATGTTGGACTAATGTGTTTCTCTCCATGTTGCAGCACAATATTAAACCACTTTAAATCATCTTCACCTGGTGTTAGCAGTTTATTTTAAAACTTCCACGACAAAAGAAAATAAAAAAAGTAAAACTGTTCAGTCACCTTGAGCGTGTCCAGTGCAGAGAAGTGTACAAAGCACTATAATAAAGACAGAAACTTCAGACATTATCAAACTAAAGAGAAGAACAGAAAATAAACAAATAAATGCATGCATAAGCACTTGTGGTTTATCAGTTTCTACTATAATGTGTTATTATCTTATATTATTATGTAAAATGCATCAAATTATTATTGAGGAAGAAACAAACCTTTCTTAGATAAACTAAAGCAGCTCCACTCTGATCTGAGTCAGTGCACTAATCCAGTCTACAAACAACCATGTTGGTAACAAACATGAGAGTCCTCTGATCACATGACCTGAAATGGTACAAATGACTGACGCTCTGTTCTTCTTACTAAAACATGTTCATGGATCAGTATGAATCAAACAATAGGAGTCAGTGATGTACTCACAGAATAGGCCCAGCTCACAGAGCAAAGTGGCTCCCATCCTCACATCCAGCAGTGACACGTCTGAAAACTTCTACAACTTTCTGTAAAGAGAGAGAGTGAAGCAGCAGCACAGCAGATACCAAAGAGCTGTGAAGGAAACAATAGTTTTTTTTCTGCTTTCTTCCTTTTACACAGAAATAACAACTTAACACGATCTGACTACAGCATGCTGTGATGTGTTTATACTATAGTATAATAGTATAATAATATAGTATAATACTTACACAATAGATTCTCAGAACTATTACTAATCTTAATAAATTCATACATCCGCTCACACAAAAATATGAATTAGAAACAATAAATATCAACAAATTTGTCTAAACAGTTAAACAAAGTCTCTGAATGCTGTTACACTGCTGGATCTAGCAAAAAGTTTTTCCCCCTGTGGAATTGTTGATACATTGATACATTTGTGGGAACTTTTTATTTTACTGCTTTCCTCCAGTTTCTTATCAGTCTTCAAATTTCTAACAAATATCTGCTAATATTAAGTAATAAAATTACTTCTCAGTAATATGTTTATTATGGATGCTGGGAGTGCCCTTGATGGACTCTAATATTATACAGTTAAGGGTTTTAATGTATTAAACGTCAAAGCCAGACAAAAACTTTGAAAAGCAGTTTGCTTGAAAGTGTTTCACACACTGGAATAACTGCATTGCAAGGCTTAAAACTTGACTGAGGTCTTACAGAAACAGGAGATTGCCTTTGCCTGCTCATTTTGTTATTAAGCAATTTTACCACTGATAATTATTACCCTCACAAACAATACACTACATAAACACCTCATTCAGATTGGTTCAAACTGCTGTAGATGGATAAGTGAATAAAAGCATTATAAAGGAAGAGAATACACTTTTCTTTACACTGTTTCTTTCATGCCACAGAGACAATCCCAAATAGGCTGCTGCTAATATCTAAGCAGCCATTAATTTCTCATACTAAAGGCTGTAACACAAAATTATTATATTGATTCAAATGTAAAGTAAATAAACCACAACATCTCACTCTAAAAACAGCTGGAGTGTGATGGAGGCCACAGGCCACTTAAGTTTTATAAGCAGTTAAGAAAATAGTTTGAGAGATGAATAAAGCATTAACTGATAAACAGAGATGTCATACTCACGGACAGTAAACCTTCACAGCAGGTGTTGTTGATCCATGCACTTTCTCACAGAGCAGTTGAATCTATAACTAAAAATATTTCCTAATTGAAAAAAAACTGAGCTCAGTAATGTAAAGTACTGCATTACATCAGGGCCGATTCCTTTAACGTGAAATTCTGGAGTGGTCATAAATTCACACACAGAGAGTGAGCGGCCTCGAGCAAAACTGACATTTAGCAGAAGTGAGCTTGAGGCCAGATGGCGTGCTCTATGTTGTTTCTCTCTTCCTTAAAAGTAGCTGTAACTGCTGCACTCAGTAACCGCACAGTGGGGCAGTTGGGTAATGTTGCCCAAATCAAACATTGGCTAACTTTAAACAGGGACGCTGTTCAAACCACACCAGGTAATGGATGAGTGTCAAGGATTGCTGTCTCGCAGGCAGGAGATTGGGCCCAAAATTCAGGACTCACAACACACAGGAGTGAACTCAAAATACGGCTTTATTTACTGACTCAAGGAAATAATACAAAACTAAACTACATGGGGAAATTATAACCTAAACTTCAAGGGAACACACAACATGAGGGAGAACACAACACTGACAAAAAGAAATACACTGAGGGATAATGAGGGCAATGATACACAGAAGGAAAGCACAGCTGGGAGTAATTAGGCAGGACGAGACAAGGGAAGCAAACTAAAAACACTGACATGAGACACAGACCTTCAAAGTAAAACAGGAAACACACCGACTGTATTTATGGATGATGTAAGAAAAATTCTGCTTCTTGTTTGGTTTCCTGATGCACGTCTTTTTTTTTCAAAGATATTAAACCACAACAGAGCTATACTAAGGGTGATTGGACTTTCCACCTGTTGAATTAAATGTGCTTTTTGCTGTTCACTTTAAGAGTTTGTGTTTGGGTTCTCGATCTTGCACCCAAACAGATTCCTTTTTAAAATATTTCCAATGTGGTGAAATTCTGGTTTTAAAGATGGTCATAACTTAGTGGGCAGGATGTGGGTGAGCATGGGGAAAAGAGAAATACTGTTTTGAAACAGAAGTGTGAGGTGATATTTAATCCTGCTTCCTCTTTGAGCTAACACGTGTGTCCTTAAAAGTAGCTCTGAAAGATTTTTTCTTCCTTTAAACTTTCAGTTACCCTACAGTGGGCCAGTTCCTGGGGCTCATGGGAAAAGTTTGAAGTTAAAGAATCTCTGATAATCACAACATAATAAGCTGTTTAAACTTCAGTAAATGAATTCAGTTTTAGTATATAGTGAAATCAGCTGAGATCAAACTACATCAAGTGTCACTTTACATGAAATCAAAACTCTGTTTCCACTGAGAACACGTCTGCAGAAACTATATTTTTCTGGGGGGGTTTAACGAGTCACATGCAAACAATGAATATCTGTGATTTTTTGGAGAGCACAGCAAAGCTGCAAACACAGCAGTATGGGTTAAGTAAGGGGTGAACAAACAAGAATGCAGTTTCAACATTTGCACTTCTTGTTTGGTTACATCATCAATGTCCTTTTTATGCATATTCAGTTGCAGCAAGACAAGTGTTAATTGTGCCATGCTATAGTTAATAGCTTCTAGCAGGATCTATGCTACATGTTTGACATCTAAGAAAATCTGAAAGCAGCAATAAAGGTATGTAAGCAGTTCAGTAGAACACAATCGATTTGGAAATATCATGATCAACAGTTATTAGTGAAATACAGCTGTGCTTCCTGCACTGCTCCCTAGTGATCAAATGGCTGTTACACTTGATGATGTATCATATTTATAAAGCTCAGTGTTATTGGGTTTGACTGTTATAGTTTACATTCAAGTCAATACAGCATCAGTCACAGCATTTATTTATTTATTTCAACATAATGTATAATACATTATGCAGTACAAATATGTATTGGTGCCCTAATGTAGCATGGCAAAACCTTTATTTAAAGCTGTATTGTCAGTTAAACCAGATAATACAAAAAACCCCTCAAAACAACAACAAAACAGAATATTGTGTCTATATCATTACATACAAGCAAATCCCAGCACACTGCAATTACCATGGGAGACAGGGAATACAAATCTGTATATGCTACCACATATGAGATGCTATGATATATGCTATAATATGATGCTAAAATACATTAAATTAGACACGCCACTCTATTCTGATATTCCATTATTCCAATTGAACTGTCAAATATACAATTATATACGATTCTGAGACTTCAAATATTTACATATTCATGGGTCACTCACAGTGCCCTATGCAATGCTTATGCAAAGTTTTATCAAGAGTGTCTCACTCAGAGGATGTAGGGAACATATACAGCATGCATATGCTCTAAACATTATAGTATGATTATACTATGCTTCTCTTTGGCTTTGCTACTCTTGCTCTCTTCACTGACCTGTAAGGCAAACACAAAAGACACAGAGTAAGGATGTTATGTGGTGAGGCCATTTAATCTTGTCAAGGAATATTGTCAATGTAATGAGACATTTCAGTGCATCACTGTTGTGAGTTCACCTGGATTTTCCATGTTCACATCAGTGGAAAGAGGACTCTCATGTGGTTTATGATGCTTCCTTGCTAAGATAATCAGATGAATGAGCAAAAGAAAATAATTAATACATTTACATTAGTACTGCAGGTCAAAACCTTTCCTAATTAGTTTTTTGAATGTATTTTATCTTTTTTGCATGTGCGAGTATTTGTACTATACTTACTGTTCTTTCTGGAATTTTTAAGGTCGGTAAGAGAGTATGTGGCTTCATGAACTTTATCTGCTTCTGAAATATATATATTTGTATTTATAGGATTATAAAAAAAATCACCAGAATTACTGTTTTTAACTCAAATGTTTATGTATCTCTAACCACTCTGTGATATTCAAAACATGACATGTACCATTTTCACAATTTGCGGTCTCTTCCAAGTCAGCGATTGTTTCATAGTCGTGATTATCACCTTGAAAAAATAATACGCCAGAGTCAGAATTACAATTTAAAGCTATGATATGTAAGTATGTGTATTTCTAGCTGCTGTGTGCTATTCAAAAGATACTGTGTACCATTTGGACCATTAGCAGTCTCTTCCGCAAGATGGAGTGTTTCATAGGGTTCATAATGAGCTTGAAGAAACAAAGTCAGAGGATCATGTCAGTACTATTAGAGCAAATACATCAACACAGTTTTGTTAAAGTGCAAAGACACAAAATTCGAATTTAATTTAATTACAGTTTTAGAAAGTTTGATTAACAGTTTGATCTCCCTGTTGGAGCTCAGTCTGGGGCGAGTTCTTTTTTTCTCCTCGTCTTTCCTCACATTGTGCATTTTCCATTGCTATACCTCTCTGACCTGTCTTCCCCGTGATGTTTGTGTAATGGATGTATGGTCGGAAGGCTAAGATGGCGCTGGGAAGGCTGGCAGCCTTAACCCAATTTCCCCCGGGATGAATAATATTATCAATCAATCAACAGTGTATTAAAAATATTGTGTTGTAATGATATGGAACAATAACTTTTGTTGATCCTTCAGTTCATTTAGTTAGATATACATTTCTGTGAGTAAATTCTGGTTTAACTCAGTTTTTAGGATTTTTTTTGATTATTTGCCCAACTTTTTGTGTTTTTGATATTTGATTGATGACCAGATGACCAGAACTCCTGGACTTTAAGAAGACTAATTATTAATACTAAACTTTGGTTTAAGCACTGACCATGCTGAAGAGATTTGTATTCATGGGTTTCATCCTGATTGTCTCCATGATTTCTGGTGGAGTCTTGACTGTTGATGTCCGACTGGATCGGCCTAATGAAAACATAACAAATGCACAGATAATAACATAATACAGTAAATTTAGTACAGTAAGAAAATTACTGCTGAATGTTTAAAATGAAAATAGGAATGCAGAGATTTATACCAACCCAGTGAAGCATAAATCTGTC